TAAAATGTTTTTGCAATTGGAGGAACTGTTTTTTCCAGCTGGTTTGAAATGAGTGTACTTCGTAAAACTGAAATAAAGTTTCACGCCAGTTTGTATAAAGCAGCAAAGTATGTATTGGTAGGCAACCAACTGTAGTTGAGTAGTTGAGTGCACAACTTGAATCCTTCCTCATATTCCTTCTGCAAGTATCTGAAAGTCCTGCAGAGTGAAGGAGTGCATCTGCTTTTGTTAACAAAAGAGCACTAAACCTGCCAGGGTTTGAAGCTGAGCCCCCGATGGGGAAACCTACACTAAAATGTGTGCATTCATGGTAGTGTAAGACACTGGGGATGAAAGTGAGATCCGCATGATATATCGCCAGCTGACTGGTTTTAATGAAAGGTGGGCAGTACAGGGGGGAGAAAGCAAATTCTGGAAAGTTCCATGTGTGTTTGGATGCATAGGGGTATCTGCAGCTTCCTGGTCGATAACTCTGACAGCCGTGACATAAATCCATCCAGATCCAGCTGACACTTTGATTTGCTGCTGTAAATCACATTTTGTTCTTGAATCTTCTGAATTTAGTCTGAAAGTGTAATCTGTTCTAAACAGGATAATTCTGGTTCATACCAAAATAAGAAACCTATCTGAGAAACTAAATGCTAAACCTTAAAGCTGCATGGTTTAGAGGTGGAGAAAAGCACTGTAGGTCAAAGGTTGGCCAAATTCTCTCTGCTACTCCTCCATCCTCCACTCTGTCATTCCCTCCAGTGTTTTTCTTAACTTTCTCTTCAATGAGCTCATTCCCCAGACAAACTGTGGCTAGCAAACAGCTAGTAACATACCTCTCGATCCTCACCTTCTATACCAGACCACCCAATTGATCCTGAAGGTTCTCTTTTCATTGCAGACTATGTTTATTTTCTTTCTCTTACAGTTACAACAGCCTGACAGAGGTGGAGGGGTCAGAGTTCAGGTCATTGCGGCAACTGGAAATGCTCATGTTGCATGGAAACGACATTAGCAGGGTCCAGCCTGGGGCTTTCTACACCCTGCGGTCACTGCAGGTACTTTTTTTTATTGTTAGCGCATGCATTGGCATGTTCTTCTGACTGGAAGCAACATTAACGTTTTGGAAAGGTTCTTGAGAGGGAATCTGTAGTGGGAGCTAAAGATTGCCGTGATGGACAGGAGGTCTTCCAGCGTCAGTGAAATACCAGTTGCACCTTTCTAAAATCTGGTTAGCAATCATGAGAACGGTTTATGCTTGGCGCATCTACAGACGCACAGAATCAAGCCGACAACTTTTACAGCATTTATAGCTACTTTGTGCGGCTCATTCTCATATTGTTCTAAACTCTAGGTGGCAGTGTTGGGTGCTTATGGCAGCTGTAGCATGCTTAGAAGGAAAAAAAAGTTATAGTAGCAAGATGGCGACACAAATGAGTGTGTTGGTGGTAGTATTGTCTTTACTCTGAGTCACTAAGATATCTGTATTCAGATGAAGGGAGCTGACTTGTTACTGACAGCTTCAATGTGAACATGTGGTAGAGTTTGGCTTTGGTAGTATTTGCATTTTGCATTCACTGTATTTTAGTAGTGGATTCCAGTCCAGTCTCACGCCAAGACCATGATGAAACTGATTTTTTTTATTTTTATTAATGAATGTCTGTTGGGAACAGATTTGTTGAAGAGGTGGTAAAACTGGTGGGTGCTGGTTTACTGTAAGTCTGTCTTTAACTGTTCTGATGTTACAGAGTCTAGATGCAACATTTTTCTGTATATTACAAAGTTTTAAAAAATTTGAAACGACATAATTTGACATTTGACAACTATCAGGAAGTATTAACTGGACCAATATTGGAACTAATTCTTTGGTTTTATTTTGTTTTTCATCAGTTTTAGCAGATCACAGTTACCAATGATCAAACCTAATGTATATCTTACAGAACTTTTTGTATATGTTGTCTTCACATTTGTCTGAAGATCATTTTTCCGGGTCAAAAAGTAAAAACAACAACAAAAAACAGCCTAGATTAAGTTATAAGTGGACATGAAAACCCACACCCAGGTTTGCTGTGACATACTACTCCTCAGATGAATCTTCTTTAAATGTTACTGTAATTTTCTTCAGGGCTGGAACATCACAAAGAAAAATTGCGGTAATGAGGCCGGCCAAAGCTAGTGCATGCAGTTTACCGAACAAACGAAATCACGGTAATTCTTTCCTACGTAATCCCTACTTTGGACAGTAATTAGCTGCACTGTGATTGCTTCCCTCTTGCCAGGTCCATATGGCTGCAGTTACAGGCTGAATTTGATCTTAACAAAAGTCAATGCCAACGAAATAGATGAGAAACAACAAACACATTACATTGGGCCAATTGGAAAATACACTGGGAAACAAAAACAGGACACTGGACCTTATGTGACTTAATATTACTTGACCAGACCGAGACAGAACAACATCTGTTTGGTTCATTCTCAGGAACAGAGTCTATAAGCTGCAGTTGCTATTGAAGTTTCATTGTGTAAAAATAGCTAATAGCAAGTGAACTTTCTTATTTTATTTCAAACAGATCCTGAAGCTGAGCTACAACAAGCTCACATCAGTGAGTTCTGGTCTCTTCGAGGGCCTGGTCACTCTGGTCCGGCTCCACCTGGATCACAACCTTATCAATTTTATAGAACCCTACTCCTTTTCTGGTCTTACCTCTCTGAAACTCCTACAACTGGAAGGGAACCAGCTGAACCAAATCCATCCTCACACCTTCATAACAGTCTCGGTACTAGGAAGCTTTTGGACCTCTGGACTCAAGTAAGAAACTCAACAACCGCTGGAGCTTTTCTCCAGTTATACATTTCTTAAATTTTAGGCCAAGAATTTTACTTAGGAATGTATAATATGTACGCAGTACACAATTAATGACAAAAAACCATGTTTTTTTCTTAGACACTTACACCTAGCAGATAACCTGCTGGAGGAGCTTCCTCCTGCGGCGTTAAAAACGGCTCCCAGGCTGGAGCTCCTCACGATCCACGGTAATCCCTGGAACTGTGACTGCCAGCTTCACTGGTTTGTGGAATGGAGCACTACTCACGAAGGTAAATCAATAAACATTTATCTTCTTCTTTGTGGGCTGGAGAGGAACTCATGTTTCTTTTTTTAAAGTATAGAAATTAAGAAAATAAATAGCAAAAGCCTTTTTTCTATGATGCACCTTCCATGGACCCTTCAATCAATCAATCAATCAAATTTTATTTGTATAGCACATTTCAGCAGCAAGGCATTTCAAGGTGCTTTACATAATTAAAGAAAAAAATAAAAACAGTATGTGACATTAATAAATAGATGAAAAGTAAAGATAAAAACATTAAAAACATCAAAAACATCGAAGACATCAAAACCCACACTCTAATCCTAATTTAGCCATAAGCAACTCTAAACAGGGGGGTTTTAGTCTAGATTTAAAGGCACTCAGTGTTTCAGCTGTTTTACAGTTTTCTGGAAGTTTGTTCCAAATCTGTGGTGCATAGAAACTGAATGCTGCTTCTCCTTGTTTGGTTCTGGTTCTGGGGATGCAGAGCAGACCAGAACCAGAAGATCTGAGGGGGCTAGACTGTTGGTACAGCAATAACAGATCTTTAAGGTATTGTGGTGCTAAGCCGTTCAGTGATTTATAAACTAACAACAGTATTTTAAAGTCTATTCTCTGAGCTACAGGAAGCCAGTGTAGAGACTTTAAAACTGGTGTTATGTGCTCTATCTTCCTGGTTTTAGTGAGAACGCCAGCAGCAGCGTTCTGGATCAGCTGCAGCTGTTTGATTGATTTATTGGACAGTCCTGTGAAGACCCTGTTGCAGTAATCAATGCGGCTAAAGATAAACGCATGGATGAGTTTCTCTAGATCGTGCTGAGACATCAGTCCTCTAATCCTGGAGATGTTCTTCAGGTGATACAAGACCGACTTTGTGACTGTCTTAATGTGGCTCTGAAGGTTCAGGTCAGAGTCCATCACTACTCCCAGGTTTCGGGCCTGATCGCTGGTTTTCAGTTGTAATAACTGAAGCTGTGCACTGATTTTAGTTCGCTCCTCTTTAGGCCCAAAGATAATAACTTCAGTTTTGTTTCTGTTCGGCTGGAGAAAGTTTTGGCACATCCACACATTTATCTGTTCTAAGCATCTATTCAGTGATTGGATGGGGTCAAAGGTCACCTGGTGACATCGTGATGTAGAGCTGTGTATCATCCGCGTAGTTATGGTAGCTGATCTTATTTCCTGTTATAACCTGAGCCAGTGGGAGCATATAAATATTGAAAAGAAGGGGTCCTGGGATTGAACCTTGGGGTACCCCACATGTGACCTTTGACCTCTCTGATGAAAAGTTTCTAATTGAAACAAAGAAATCCCTGTTCTTTATGTAAGATTCAAACCAGTTGAGCACTGGACCAGAGAGTCCGACCCAACTCTCCAGTCGATTCAGTAAAATGTTGTGGTCAACAGTGTCGAAAGCTGCACTGAGGTCCAACAGAACCAGCACTGTGGTTCTCCCACTGTCTGTATTTATATGGATGTCATTGAACACTTTTACTAGGCCGTCTCCGTGCTGTGGTGAGCACGAAAACCAGACTGGGAGGAGTCAAAGCGATTCATTATTGTTAGGAACCTATTTAATTGTTTAAAAACTGCTTTTTCAATAACTTTGCTGATGAATGGGAGGTTGGAGATCGGCCTGTAATTCTGCAGTAGTGATTTGTCTAGATTGTTCTTTTTTAGCAGTGGTTTGATAACTGCTGTTTTCAAAGCCTGGGGGAAAACACCTGAAGACAACGATGAGTTTACTATTCGGATCAGATCATTAGCAACGACAGGCAGGACTTTCTTAAAGAAATGTGTGGGTAGGACATCCAGACAGCAGGAACCGGAGCTTAATTGACTTATAATTTCTTCTAGGGTTTTATAATTAAGTAGTTGAAATTGGGTCATTTTTCCTGCATTTGTTTTGTTTGGGCACAGCATTGGTACTGGCTTTGGAGTGGATGTGCAGATTAATTCTCTGATCTTTTGAATTTTCTCTGAAAAGAAACTGGAAGACTTGTTGCAGGCGGTAATAGATTGAAGTTCAGGTGGCAATTTCGTACTTCAAAAACCCAAGCTAAAATTCACAAGTTATTACTTAATTGACTAGTTGGGTCTTGGGTTGATTAGAGTCCTGCTTTTCATTTGTTTTGGGTTATGCTTAATGTTATGTCATACTTTAATTTAGTTGTTTGTTTGTTTTTTTGTTTAAAACGTATGCTCTCTTGTAGAGCAAGAAGATTATTACTGCATGTCTTACCCCTCTCTTTCTGCCCTTCTTCCTGTCACGTTATTAATGAATAAAAACCACTGGTGCCACAAAAAACCTTGAACAAAAAAAGCTGTCCCATAACAGAACCAGGAGAAACCCCACATCCAAAGATGTGGGGTTCCATAATGATTATCTTCATTCATTATTGATGTTCACATATAAGTCACAAATAAATGCTCCTTGACTCTTCTAAAAAAATAAAAATTCAAATAAATCCTTAGGAATAAATGTAAGTGAATTTTTTTAAGTCCCACCTTACTGTTTTAAGTTGAACATGGTATTAAGTGACTCAGAGACCTAATTCTCTTTGCCTCTCTTCAAAATGGGGAAGATAACAAAAGATAGCTAGATAACCAGATAGCAAGATACCCATGGTTTCAATAAAGAAACCATGAAAATGAAAACAGATAAAATCCTTACAGAGTGCTTCATGGAAGTTTTTTTCAAGGATCAGACCAGATCTTTTGTTATGAATATTTACAAAAATCATAACAAAGTACTACTGAGACTGAGATCATTGTTTTTGCATGGAACCAGAACCCAAAAGAAAATATTGCTTTGGTCCGGTTCATCAGACTAGTGGCTGTTTATTCCAAGCTAATTTGCTTTCTCTCCCCCTTCCATTGCCTCTTGGGTAAAATAATTACAGCTTTGTCATTCGTTTGTTACATTTTTAAACATATTTAATCAGGCCCATATGCTTTCTGTTTGGATAAGCAGCAACAGTTGACAATATATTTTCATGCTTATATCAGAAAATGTTTTTTCTCTTCTTGTCTGTTTTCACTGTTTTGCGACTTCCAACCTTTTCTTTTTCTTCACTCTTTTCCAGGAGTAGTGAAATGCAAGAAGGAGCGCGGCTCTGCTGAGACGTGCCCTCAGTGCTCTTATCCTCAACTCCTGAACCAGACGCAGCTCCTGGAGCTGTCTGTAGGCAAGCTCGTCTGTGAACGTCCAGTTCTTCGATCCCCCCTCAAACAATGGGACAATCCTCTTTGGACGGAGTCTGAAGCTGAGCCTGACCTCCCATACACTCGGGACTTAGAAAAACCTTTGGGCGAACTGACCATCGTTCTCTCAGACAGCCATGGAAACCGGGCTTTTGTGTCATGTGACGTGCGCCATCCGGGCGATAGCTCACCAATTGCATGGGCTTCAAATCATCAGTCACCCATGGAGATATCTGTGAACGTGTCACTGGTGACCATCCTGGAGTGCGAGATCGATCGAGAAACACTGCAAAATCTTTGGCAACTGGTCGCTTACTACTATGAAACCCCAGCAATTTTAGAGAGAGGTCAACAGAGGGTTAATACTAGCAAAGTCACGTATCAGTATTCCCAGGCTGTCAATGAGAACTCACCCTATTTCACAGAATTAAAAGGATATTTAGAAGCGGAACCAGCATGGCTGCTTCAGCCTAGAGTCACAGTAAAGCTAAACAGGCAACAGACAACAACAAGGAAACTTGTCATGGATTTCACCACTTTAATCACAAAAACCATCAACAGCCATGAGAGGCAAGAGGATGACAATGATGTTACTTCCTCCTGGGCATTAATCCGTAGAGGAACAACTGGAAGGGTTCAAACTGCTCTGGAGGGTACACAAGTCCATTTAGAGTGCAGTGCTGTTACCTCTGACCCAGAAGTAAAAGTAGAATGGATGCTTCCTGATTTATCCACAGTAGAGGAAGCTACAGATAAGGTAGAAATATCTGAAAGAGGCCAGCTTATAATTTCCAATGCCTCTGTCTCTGACTCAGGTCTCTACCACTGCATCGTCCGAAGCAAAACCGCTATGGACTTGATGCCACTTAGGCTTACAGTCAAAGAGCGGTCACTTAGTCCAACAGCTTTAAATGGGCAGAACATTATGCTTAAGACGGGGAACTCTCTGTCTCTTCCTTGTGAGGTGACCTCAGCTCAGCCAAGTCAAACCTTGTGGTACCTGCCCAAAAACCAAGTTCTCCTGCCAACGCAAAAGACAAGAAGAGCAGAAGTGTTGGAGAACGGCACTTTGGTGGTTAGGAAGATGACACAGGAGGATGCAGGGGAATATAGCTGCTTAGCCTCTAATCTGTACGGAGTTGACATGCTTTCTCACATGGTGGAAGTAACGGGAGAAAAGGATGTAGAAAAGATCAAAGTACAGACTGACAAAGAACCACTTATTTTGCCAGTAGAAACAGATGAAGGGGAGGGCTCAGGGGGTGGCTTTCAAGAGACTATACGGCCTTTTGCTACTCAGCTTCCAAAGAAGGTAGGACGACCAAACAATGGCTTGTTTAAGAGAACACGTATGAAAAATTTAAATAGAAAGCCCAATAAATCTGTTAAGGAATTGGATCCAAATCGCTGGGCGGAGATACTGGCCAAAGCTAAAGCTAAACCGAGTGTTCCTCTGCCTACTGAGCAGTCACTAGAAGAGCCCAGTACAGTAACAATCCAAGCTAGCACTGTCAAAACCTCAACTTCTAGTGTGAGCACAACTGCAGAGAATTTATTGTACTTTACAACCCCTTATTATACAACGAAAAAAAAGTTTCCCTTTCAAGGAAAGGTCAAGCCTGAATCCCATTCAAGAAATGGAAAAATGGAGGATGTCTACAAAGTACCCAAAATACAGCAAAATCAGCTGCTGGTTGTAGGCCCTGTTATCCTTGGAAGTACAATACCATCCTTACAGCATGTTCATCACACCCCAAAAACAGTACAAAGTTTCACAACTCCACCTAATCTCCTTGTCAAACAACCAGAAATCAAACAAATTGACGAGGGAAGAAGAAACTTTGTTCCTGATTGGTCTAACAGGAGAAGACCCTTTCAAAGACGTAGAAAGCCCCCAATGAGAAAACTCAAACCACACAAAAACCCCTTCTACCAAACATCTAACAACCCCCAAGGAACTGTTCCTCAAAAAACAATTACCACACCAACAACAACTACACCCACCACTACTACAACTACAACCACTACTACTACAACAACAACTACCCCTGCTCCAACTACACTGGAGTACAGTGAACCCCTCCCTGCTGAGTATGAGGTAGAAGACAACAGTGAGAAATACTATGAAGATTATGACTACAAGAGTGGTGAAAGTTTGGAAGCTACAGATGATGTAATCAGTGAAATCTCTCCTGCCACCCATCTCCATGATAGCATTACCCCCTCTCCACCGGACAGAGAAAAAAATCCTCATCTGAATCAACAAGAATTACCTAATAAAAAGACCATTCCTACTCCAAAGTTGGAGACTCAAATTTTAACGAGAACTGAAGATGTAGTAGACCTTGAGAAAAGCCCAGTGGAGAGAGAATGGCTCAAAGGACAAACAGAAGGAACTGACAGCAACAATGAAAGTAATGATAAAATCCTTGCAAGAGTAAATGAGAGTGAGAATATGAACGCATCCGAGGAGCAAGAAAAATTTACAAAGGGAGGTGAGAGACACAAGGAAAAATCAAAACCGGAGATCGTTGCTCAGAGCTACAATTCACAAGATGAATTTCCGTTAACATCCCGTAACAGACAAAGAGTTACCACAAGACCTTCACCTGATCAAAACCTGCCTGCACAACCAAAGACAGCAAAACCAACTAAAAAGATTGAAAACCACCACCCACAAGTCATGGAACCACTTCATCCTTGGCTGCATCAGAACAGCCATGAAAGAGGACAAACCAGTAGTTCCAGGACTACACACACAGATCATGACAGGAATGCAGTAAGACATGGTCAAGTAAATCCCAGCAGGCATTCTCGGCCCCCTAAAGTTCCTCCAACCTCCCGCTGGTCCACACACCATCATCATCACCAATACTACCCCATGTACCCTTCCTGGTCTGGTCAAAGGCCATTCCCTCACCCAAGGCAAGGTAAATACAGCTAAGATATACAGAAACTTGTGTATATTTTGTTTACTCCAACAACCTTTGTTGTAGATTTATGAGTTCTAGAGTTATGAGAGCAGTCACTCAAAGTTACAACACATGGTCTGTTTATAGGGCTGACACCCACTCATCGATCCTGGCCTTTCCTTCACCCGTGGAGCCATGGCTCGTTTGTCACCAACCGACCAGAAATAACAGCTGAGACTGTAAAACCCACACCCACTGTCTCAGGAATAGACCTTTCCACATTTCTACTACCCAATTTTTATCATCATAATCATCAAAATCACCATGTTGACAGCAAGACCCAAACAAGAGATCATCTGTTTCTTTCGAGGCTCAGAAACCGATACAGACAGGTAAAAGGAGGGCTGTGTTTTTGAAATATTTGATGAAGCAGGATTTCTATTTGCCCTGTTATTCAGGAATTAGAATTTGTATTTTATTTATGTTATAAAACAAACTTCTTTTAAGCTCCTGGTAATGCTATACATACTTTTTGGATGATCTACAATCATCCGCCCCTGCATATACCTTTAACTCTGTGGCTATACAATTAGCCACATTTGAGATTTTGAATTAGATTGGGGACAGTGAAATTTTAGGGTTCTTATTGTACACCTGGTAATGTCTGTACGCAAATTTATCAACTATTTTCTTGTTTTATTCATTTAAAACATGAAAAATATAACTTTCATTTTCTTGGACGGTCATCACAAGTCAATATCGTCTTTACTAAATAACAGACTTTCCTACAATTTGTTATAAATTAAGAGATTTATTGCATGCTATTACTTTTGCAAATTTTGACCTGTGAATTTGAAGTTTGTAAAATATTTCAATATACTGACCGCACTGATAAAGGCCCTAAGAAGTGTCCAAAGTGGTTTTTGGGGTATTTGCAGCCCTTTGAATAGTTTTCAGTGGTCGTTAGTACAAACTCGTTTCACCAGCAAAAACACTTTGGGAAATTTTTAAGGTCAGAATATAATATACTGCCTAAAATATTTTAAAATGGCAACTTTTAGGTACAACTTGCAAAACACAGACACATAGATAAATAAAAATCAGTATGCGTAAGAGTAGTTCAGAATGCCCAGCTTTGGTTTTGATTTTTTCAGGCCCAGCTTGATCGGATTGCTCAGCTCGGAAGGATAGCCACACCAAAACCCCGGGTTGGCTACAAACCTCCTCCTCCAGTCACACCTAAAAAAGACTCTCCGTCCCTGCATAGACCTTTAACTCTGAAACAACCAGCAGCCACTGCTTCATACTTTTACTCCCATGAGCACTTAAAGCCTGCTAAACCATCATATTCATCATTCCTTGAACTCCCCCCAACCCCTCCTGGAAACCCACCAATGTCTCCTGCTCTGCATGTAGGTAGGTGGCCTGTTCAGTGAAGTAAGTCTTAAAAAGAGCCAACATATATTTCTAGATCTATTTTGCACCCTTTATAGTTTTGCTATGTCAAACGTCTTTTAAGGACAAATCAACCCCCCGAATCCAACAGCTGCTGCTCCTTTCCCGTGGTTGTTTGGAGTTAATGGGATAAAACCTCGTATAACGACACTTAGTACAGCAAGTGTGTCAGTGCTGGCCGAGGATGATGTGCTCCTGCCCTGCAAAGCATCTGGGAACCCTGAACCTAACATCGCTTGGACCAAAGTCTCTACAGGTGAAATATTGAAAGAAAAATAATGGAAGAAAGAGACAAAAAGCAAAGTCAAGTTGAAAATGATTAATTTTTATCTTGTTTTGTTGTCTGTTCTGCCACTAGGTGCCACTATCCCAGCCAACACCAAACACGGGTCACGTTTTGAAGTCTTCAAGAATGGAACTTTCTTCATTAAAAATGTGCAACTTCAGGATCGAGGACAGTACCTCTGCACAGCGCACAACAGGTTTGGATCGGATCGTATGGTGATCACCCTAGCAGTCCAGACGGAGGCTCCCAGGATCCAGCCGCCCAAGACCCCAGAACTATCAATCTACTTAGGGAAAACTGTGGCATTCGACTGCCTCGCTTCTGGGAAACCACCTGCCCAGATTTCCTGGATTCTCCCAGACAGGACGTTTGTGCGAGACCCCGGAACCATTCACACTGTCCTTTCTCCAATGTCGCTGCTTCAGAACGGGACACTCAGAATTCACTCAGCCAATTTCTCCAGCAAAGGAGACTACAAATGTATAGCAAGCAATGCAGCTGGTGCTGACACAGTCACTTATCAACTCCACGTGGCAGCTTTGCCTCCGAGCATAAGTGAAGAAGTACAGGACACAGTGATCATTCAACCAGGTGAGAGATGACAAACAAATCTACTGCAATCTATTCAAATCCTGTTGAGAACTAGTCTTGTTTGTGGCTTACAGTAGTTCATTTACCCAGACAGGAGCATGTATGCCCACTGCTCTGCGAAGGGCGAGCCAGTGCCTGCTCTGAAATGGATACTTCCATCAGGCGTCCATGTTAAAGCATCACAGTTTCTGGGACGCAGAGTATTCGTCTTCCCAAACGGGACACTGTTCATAAAGAATGTTATGCCATCTGATGGTGGGAGGTATGAACTGTAAACTGGCTTAATTTAATGAATAAAATGTATATCTAATTGAATTTAAACATATCACTAACAGTACTTTGGATTTTTTTAAGCAACTTTGTTCTGCCTGTTGGTGCGATGATGTGAATATCAAAGTAGACACAAAAAACATTATGACCTTAGCTAATGACGCTTCCAGAATAGTGGTAGCTTAGTTTTTCCTATTTGTTAATATTTTTTCTCAGACATTAAACTTTTAACCTAATTGTCCTGATTAATAATCAAGGACAGTTCATCGTTCACTAATCAACCATTCAAACCAACCTCAGTCTGCAACAAAGTGTTTTTACAAGTTCACGAGTAAAGCTAAGAGCTATGTAGCGGTTAGCTAGTGACAACAACATCGTATCTTGGACTGCCTTCCTAAACATTTTAGCAACTCAGATCTGTAAGTACCTCCCTTGGATGCTCAGAAACAATTAATCAGTGGATAAACTACATGTCCTCCCTTTATGTCATAGTATCTAATGGTAAAGAAAGAAAAGGATCCCAAAAAGGAGGGTTAATTGTAATCAATGACATTATCAATTTTCAGCAGTATTGGAATTAGATGCTTACCTGAAATTGCACAGCCCTAATTGTCAGAAATACTTTGGTGATATGTGTCTCATAAATAACGTATATGAAATGACAACATGAATGTTGTCCAATCAGAATTGAATAGAAACCTCTCTCCTCTCTTTACAGACAAAATATCCAACTGATATTACTGTTAATACCATTTTCATCTCAGAAACTTCCTCAAATGTGGCTAATGTAATCAACTCCATGACTGGAAGGCAGAACATTTCAGAGTTAACTAGTATTAGAACTTGACGAGGTTAACTTAGAATTAGGTCAGCACTAGAAATAAAGGACAGTTGCATTCAAGTACACTGGAACCTCTCTGATAAAGGTTCCAACCTGTACACTTTTTCATATTTCATAACCAAATGCAAAGTGAGCTCAAGGTCAGAAGGAGTTTGACAAACCAAATTCCCATCTACCTTTTCAGGTACGAGTGTTTGGCCAGCAACGCAGTGGGTGTTGCCAAGCGAACAGTCCTGCTGGAGGTGAGAGAAGATTCCTCCTCTTTATTTGGCCAACGTCCTCCTCCTCCTCTTCCCATCCCGCCAACCCAGAGTCATGGTTCTCCATCCCGTCAACATGTTGTGTCAGCTTTGTATGGTTCTGCTGTCTACCTCCATTGTCCAGAGTCCACTGGATCCTCAAGAGGGACTTTGTGGCAGCTGCCCTCTAAGATCATCCTGGAGCATCAATACAGGCAACTGAAATATCCTTTGACTTTGTGAACAACAGCTACATTGAACTGCAATATTGTAATCTATCTTTTTCTGCCTTTAGCCCAGAGAGACCAATTAAAGTTTTTCGTAATGGGACCCTCAGGATCCTTCAGCTAACAGAGCTGGATGGTGGAAATTATCAGTGCATCTTTCAGAGGCCTAATGGGGAAGACATGGAGCTTTTCCAGGTAAGACCAGAAACATAATAGCTAGAAGTTCAGTTTGCAGCATAATCTTTCCAGTTGGTCTCTTTTTCTCTCATTTGTCTGTTTTTTTTTTTCATTATCAATCTTAATCTTAATTTAGAAGATCAATTTAATCTGTACATCTCCTCAAAGACTTAAAAGTAATGTCTTTCTTGGCCTCTGACAGTTTTATTATATCAACCCTTACAAAGCATGTTTTCAAACAAGCTGCAATTCTCCAAAATTTATTCCAAAATTAGCTTACTGGTGTATTTTGGAATTACACCAGACATACATCTTTCTAGTTCCAGGTAGGAAGAAACGATCCAAAGATGGGTACATTGCGGCGGACAACATGGACAACACTAAAGTTGTATGTGGCATTTAGATAATGCTCAGCTGGTACTAAGAGGCCAAGAGTGTGCCAAGAAAATATTTTCTACAGTTTACCAGTGGCAGTCTAACCCGTTGATTCTTGCACCTTGTTTGGTTTTCTGCTGACTTCTTTAAGATTTATTGTGTCCTTCATGATTTGGTTTAAATGAACCATTATGCCAATTTTTTCTAACCTTGGACATCAACAAAGCAGTTTCACATATACTACTGCCACTCACTTAATGTTTTTCCAAACCATTCAATGCAAAATAAGAGCAATGGTTGTGAACAACAATCACAGTAGATCAATAATTTCTGAAATACTTAGACGACAAGGTCTGACTGACACCAACAACCAACAACAGCCATGTTCAAAATCACTTAAATCCCCTTTTCTCCTCCAGTCTGATGTGGGGTTAGAACCTAGAAAGTCATGTCTGCACTGCGTCACTGCCATGGTGAATGCTACAAATGCTAACAAGCTAGTGTATTACTCACTTTATATAGCCAAAAGACCATTTTAGTAGTCTTCCAGTACTAACCACTTTACATGTCCATGTTTAACAACAACATAAAACACTGTTGTACAGATTGTGACCCAAATATTTTCAAGATATCAAAGTTCTTGCCAGGAATTGTGAAAACAATGTTTCTTGGCAACTGTCAATGCCTACTGAATCCTGTACATGTGATCAGAAAATGCCAATTTTTGTCTGAAACATTAAATATGTATTTACCTCAACAGGTAGAAGTGCTGATGACTCCCCCTCGAATTGAACATGTAAGGACCGCACAGACCAGAGTGACTTTTGGAGAGAATTTCCAGGTAATTGCTAAAAATTAAGCAGAATATTAATAACTAATATTATTCTCATTCTAATGTCACAGGTATCGGTTTAAATTTTACTTCTATAATTTCCATTGTAAACCGAACAACAGAAAATTCTGGGTTTCTGTTTTGTTTTGTTTTTTCATCAAGACTGTGGTTCTACTATAAAACAACATAAACCATCAGAATCATTCTTCCTTCTTCTTCACTGTTTTTGTTCCAAGGTGGATTGTGTTGCGACTGGCCTACCCAACCCAGAGGTCTCCTGGAGTCTTCCAGATGGAACATTGGTTAACAATGGCCTTCAGTCTGACGACAGCAGCCTTCGCAATCGACGTTACGTGATGTACGGGAATGGAACTTTACTTCTTCAGCAGATGGGCAGAAAAGACGAAGGGGACTACACTTGCCACGCAACGAACAAACTAGGCAAAGATGAAAGAAAACTCAGTGTCAAACTGGGATCAAATGCTCCACAAATTGGATTAAAATCACAATCACTTGTGAAAGTGAAACTGGGAGAGTCAGTCAAACTGAGCTGTCAGGCAACAGGCGAGCCTAAACCCAGAATCACATGGATCTCACCACATACGGATGTGATACCACCACTGTCAGACAAATACAGGGTTGTAGATGACGGAACGTTAATTTTGAAGAAAGTGACACTGGCCGATGAAGGGAAATATGCCTGTGTGGCACGAAATTCTGCAGGTGATGATATTAAAAACATGATAGTTGAAGCTGAACTCCAGGAACCCTACATCAACGGTGTGAGAGGGAAGACTACGGCAAAGCTTTTGGCTGTTTCCTACCAAACAGCACTTCTGGATTGCAGAGTGGAGGGAAAACCTGAACCCAAGGTCTGGTGGCTGACTCCATATGGCCACTCACTAACACCACCCTACCTTGGCGGTCGCTTCCAAGTCCACCAGAATGGAAGCCTAGAGCTGAGGGGTGTTAGGAAGACGGATGCAGGCAGGTACAAGTGTTTTGCTAAAAATCACCTGGGTGAAGCTTCCCTTTCAGTTGAGATGGAAGTGGCATCGCTAGCTGAGAAACCCAGCTTTGCCAGTCCTAACATTGAGATCTTACCAATTAAGCAAGATGGTGGTGAACTGATTCTGGAGTGCCCTGCTCGCGGCACGCCTATCCCAGAGATTTCTTGGGTGCTGCCCAACGGGACTATGTTATCACCCGGACGGAGACTTCAGCGTATTACTCACCATTTTGGAAATGGGACTCTGTGGATCAATCAGCCAACGCCAAGTGATAAAGGAATTTACCGGTGCCTAGCAAGAAACATAGCAGGACAAGCAGAGAAACGTTATTCCCTGGAGGCTGGGTGGAAACCTGTGATCAGAGGAACAACAGGTAAGCTATCGCTTCTCAAACCCATAACATGTAGTTATCATTTTAATTTAATAGGTAATCACTATTCTGGTCCTTATTTGTTATGATGTCCAGAAGAAAAAAAACTTTTTATCCCTAAAATAAAGGTAGTGCACTTAAATCGGATTTATTGCATCCAAAAGGTGTTTGGCTTATCTGAAATTTCAGTTGGTTAATCACATCAACTGAGCTGCTTACCTCAAACACGGGTCTTTAGCTCCAAGTTTGGCAACTTTTAGACAGATTTCTGTTCCAATAAATCTGAATAAAATTAAAAGCTCCTGAGGCGA